TTTGCGCAAACGGTAGTAGAAAGGTACTAAGAAAGTGCGCAAAGTATACAATTAGAAGTAAAATGTGTATTATTAATTATATGTGAATTTGCAATATATTTGGTGTTTTAATGGAAATACTAAGCAATATGTTAAAATATAGATTTTTAATTTAAGTTATTCGTCATTTCCTGGATCAAATCTAGAATACCGACCGTTCAGCTATGCAAAAACAAAAATGCAGATCAAAAGAACTTTTTTACGCTCATTTCAACCATGTCAAAATTATTTAGCGCAAGTAAAATATAAAGACGTTTTCAAAGGTTACAATTAAATTCTTAGATTTTTTTTAATATTAATATCTTATGAACCACATAACCGATTAAAAACTAATAACGTCATCATAAAGATAATCAATTTATCTTTTAGCTGATATACATAATTGAAATTGTTTTTTTTTTATATTTAAACCAAAACCACTAAAAAACGAACATAAAAACCTTTTTTGAAAAAAACTGCATGATTAATGGTAAAGAAATTTATATTATTTAGAAAGTACAAGCTATTATCTTTAATTCGATATACATATTTTATCATGATCTACTTTTGGGTTTTAAGAATTAAGAGATAATAAAAAATATAAGTAAACAAAGCAAATGAACCTCTTATATCTTCTTTGTATATTACCTGCGCCAAATAAATTTGGTATCGTTGAAATCAGTGTAAAAAGTTCTATCAATCGGCACTATTGGTTATTTCATAGCTAAACAGTCGCTATTCTAGACTTGTTCCAGAAATTTACGCAAACGAAGGTTATGCCAACAAATATTTAGGGCCGGTTGTTCAATGTCTGATTAGCACAAATCGGAGGTAGAAGCTCCGGTTAAGCACAACTACTGCTTTATCGATCACATGTTACATGCATGATGTCGAAATCGTCGATAGTGTAGTGGTAGTGATAACCAGACATTGACCAACCGGCCCTTAGTATGAAGAATTTTTAGTTTTACTACTATTTTATAACTAGAAACTGTAGAGTGAGCAACATTCTGCACAAGTAAAGGAGCCGATTTTATGTGTGGGAGCGAGAAGCCTGTTTTATTACAAAACCTTTCTATTATTGAATCATGATTTTGAAGCAAAAAATGATTATACCACTAGATTAATTGGAAGAATGAGGACCACACCACCATTTCTTTTTTTTAAACAGGTACTGGATAGCTGGATACTGTTTTAACTGTCCAATTTTAAAGTCTCCCAGGATTTCACAAGGATCTTCAAAGGACTTTGACACTAAAGAACATGATTCAATAATGCTCAATATTTATTTATTTATTTATTAGAGTCAATTGACCTATGTATATATATATATATAATATATATTGCAAAATTAATATATAATAAAAGCGCAATTATAATTAAAACTTAAAATAAGTTAACCTTTTACACTTTTCCTTCTAAGCTATAAAATAGTTTGTGTATAATTACTAAGATAGCATATTCTCGATGCTGTTTGAATGGACGTGATTCCAAGCAGTACCGTAAATATATCACGTAGGACATGCGGTCTAAGAGTATGATTTCCAGAGCCGCCACAACTGGGTGGTTGGAAAGGGCCGCCTCTTATATACTTCTCTACCGACAGGCGATCTGAATGGACGAGATCCAGAGTCGCACTATTTGATCGGACGGAAATGACTAGCTTCCATGCCTTTCTATTTCATACGGATGGAAGGGGACTAGTCTCCATGCCGGGCCTTTCTATCTAATAGCCAATGTTCTACAGTGATCATGTTGCAGCCTTTTGAAGGTACCAACGCTTTCACAATTTTTTATTTGAGGTGTTCATTGTAACATTTTAATTCCTTATAAAAGATATTATTCTTATCTATTTCCCTTTTATACAGCGGCAGCCTGAAGCTACTATTTTACTTGCTTCCACGGAAGCATATCACTCTCCTTCTGTCGACCAGTGTAGTAAAACACCAGTAATAGACAAACAATTTTATTGTTAGGTAATCTCTAGATTAGAAAATTCGCATTATTCGTATAAAACTCCCATCCCTAATAGACATCTTAGACATCACGAAATTCGAACCTGCGACGAATTCTGCGATAGGTCCCNCAAATGTTTGAAGCTGTTCGCTTTTTGTGATATAATTTTCTTAGACATCACGAAATTCGAACCTGCGACGAATTCTGCGATAGGTCCCAGTTTTATACTTGAGCATCGACGACACTACATTCTTTGTATGTAAATCATTCAATACTCCAGTTTTATTATTGCAATCGACAAACATACATATGTGTATACATATCTACATACATACATACATACCAAACCTACATATGTACAGCTGCGAGCACTAAAATAGTAGTGTGCACTTACGGTTAACATATTTTTAAATTACTAGAAAACCAAAATAATAGTTGCATTCATTATACTGAAAAACTGAAGGACAATTTCATAACTAAATGTGCGGTCAAAAGAGTTTTATTTATATAAACACTAAAAAAATTAGTTCATGTAAGATGTGTTTTCATGGAAACTACTGCGAGCATAAAAGTACATAACAAAAAGTTTTAAATTTGTATTAAAATGTTAAGATTAATACTAAAATTTAGCACAATTACTTGGTATTTGGTAGCATGACCGTTGTTTTTAATCACTGCTGCATAACGATTTCTCTTGGAGTCTTCGAGGCGTTGACATCTTTCCTAGATCCCATACGGTTTTCTTAAGGTTGCAGGAAGCATAACATCCTTCATTGTTTTTACGTACTTATTCTGGTCCTTGATAGTTTTTATCCAATATATTCGGCACCACACCATGATATGAAAAAAACATCCCCATACCATAATACTGAATGATATTCCATATTTGGGGGCGCCTTACGAACTGCCGAGCATTTACCACCGTATATAAAAATTTTTGATTCATCCGTCCACAGAGTGTTCCTCCGCTTCCGAAAAGGCGAATCCATGTGTTTTTTGGCAAAATCTGGTTTGCGTATCACTTGATTTTTTCAAAAGCGGTACTTTACGTGGACTTCTAGCACAAAGTTTGTGTTCTTGGAGCTGTCTCTTTACTGTGTGAACACTACATGGTAACTTTAGGTTATCCAAACTTTCTAAAGCTGACATTGTGGGACGAGTCTTCGAATATTTAATAATTTGCCGTATGTTAGGCGTTGATAATTTCTGCTTACCACCCCGTTTTCAGGTTTATTTTGATACATTAACGTATTTCGAATCATGGAGGCTGAACATCCACCAATTTTTTCCACTTCTTTATATGTTTTCCCCATTTTTTAATAAGGGTTTTAGTAATTTCATGTTTTTCGTGACCTCGGTGCAGACTTCGTACCCTTAAAAATTACAGAAATGCGTTTTTGTCTATTCCGGCTAAATGTATAACAAACCAAGTCATTAAACTTACTTCTTATTCCAAAAACTAAAATATTTGCAATAGAAGTTAAATTTTGCGATTTTTTTCTTGTTATGCGCTACTATCTCACTGCTCGCCTTAAATGCCGTTTACAACAGGGGATACTTTTAAAAACTTAAACCGTAGCTGTTGAACGGTTTGAAATTTGCATAGAGTTAAATCATANATGCAATTGAAGTTAAATTTTGCGATTTTTTTTTTGTTATGTGCTACTATCTCACTGCTCGCCTTAAATGCCGTTTACAGCAGAGGATACTTCTAAAAAAATTAAACCGTACCTGTTGAACGGTTTGAAATTTGCATAGAGTTAAATCATACACTAAAGATGATAATTAAAAAAAAAGTGTAGTATGCGACATCAAGGGCATAATGCATCTCACAACTGCGCACTACTATTTCAGTGATCGTAACTGTACATACAAATTAGGCCTTGAGGGCCAGGGTAGCCTAGCTGACATTTCAAAAAAAATGTTGAGGTGCACCTTAAAATGCATTACNATTTACCACCGTATATAAAAATTTTTGATTCATCCGTCCACAGAGTGTTCCTCCGCTTCCGAAAAGGCGAATCCATGTGTTTTTTGGCAAAATCTGGTTTGCGTATCACTTGATTTTTTCAAAAGCGGTACTTTACGTGGACTTCTAGCACAAAGTTTGTGTTCTTGGAGCTGTCTCTTTACTGTGTGAACACTACATGGTAACTTTAGGTTATCCAAACTTTCTAAAGCTGACATTGTGGGACGAGTCTTCGAATATTTAATAATTTGCCGTATGTTAGGCGTTGATAATTTCTGCTTACCACCCCGTTTTCAGGTTTATTTTGATACATTAACGTATTTCGAATCATGGAGGCTGAACATCCACCAATTTTTTCCACTTCTTTATATGTTTTCCCCATTTTTTAATAAGGGTTTTAGTAATTTCATGTTTTTCGTGACCTCGGTGCAGACTTCGTACCCTTAAAAATTACAGAAATGCGTTTTTGTCTATTCCGGCTAAATGTATAACAAACCAAGTCATTAAACTTACTTCTTATTCCAAAAACTAAAATATTTGCAATAGAAGTTAAATTTTGCGATTTTTTTCTTGTTATGCGCTACTATCTCACTGCTCGCCTTAAATGCCGTTTACAACAGGGGATACTTTTAAAAACTTAAACCGTAGCTGTTGAACGGTTTGAAATTTGCATAGAGTTAAATCATACACTAAAGATGATAATTAAAAAAAAAGTGTAGTATGCGACATCAAGGGCATAATGCATCTCACAACTGCGCACTACTATTTCAGTGATCGTAACTGTACATACAAATTAGGCCTTGAGGGCCAGGGTAGCCTAGCTGACATTTCAAAAAAAATGTTGAGGTGCACCTTAAAATGCATTACTAGATTCAAAACGGTAATAGCCCTAGGTACGAACTTTTAGTTTTCTTTTACTATAGCATGTAGCATCACGGAGGTGCAATGAACTTTTTATTAAAACACTGCATTTATTTTTTATTTTATTTTCTTTCTCATATTACTACAATTTTTTTTGTATAAAACACGAATTCTGATTTCTTGTTTCCCGTTTCAGGAAGTCTTCATCATTTCATACCTTAATCGCACATAGAGGGTTAGCGTTTGCCTGCAGGAAGAAGAAGAGAATAAATTTTAGTCCGGTTAAGGATACACTGATCAGACCGAAAGCTGTCATTGGCAAGGGATACCAAAGCGCTTATTAAATCCTCCTGCCAGTAAAGTTATAACATCATATATCTAACTAATAACATTAAAAATTGAGAACTCAACAGAGACAACGACGCGCGCAAATCGCAGGCGCAGTCAAAGAGTTGGTAGCAGTCGGGGTGCCGTTGACGACGACGATCTGGTGGCCGATGGTGGCAACAGCGTCAATACATTGACAGACGCTCTACCTGCCAGCATCGAAGCTGTTGCTGACGACGCGACCATTGAGAAGCCAGATGAAGCAGCATCCGGTAGCATTATGGCACCAGCGCTCAGCGAGCCCATTAGCCCCACAGAAAAGCTAACCAACTCGACTGCAAAAGTCACACCTTCGACTCGCACAAACAAAGATGCCAGTGACACTGGGTTGCTCACACCGTCAACGATAATCACTGGCTGCAATAACAATGAGCACAAGGAGAAAAGAGCTCGAAGGTGTTCCATATCTACTCCGATTCCATCGTCGTCAGCGTCAATTTCGCCGCGTTTAACAAGGTCGAAGGACGCTTATCAACGAGTATTTGAACAAGCTGTTACACCCACTGCTTCTGTTTCGCCACCACCAATAGAGAAAGAGGTGACAAACACTTCAACAGCACCAAAAAATTCTGCTAATAGTGTGGCCGACGGGGAAAACGATGGCAACAGCAAACATACGCATGAGGACGGTAGACACAATAATGAGTCAATAGGCCTGAGCGGAAATTTGCATAACAAAAACATCGATTGCGGTAATGACAAAAATTTGGTTGACACCATATTTTCCGATGAAGTGGCGTGTGAAACTCGACAAAAAGATGTCGAATCAAATTTCAACAATAACAATAATGCAAGTATAAGTTGTAAAAGTAAGTCAACGGAGCAGCTCTTGGCCGACTTGACGAACGATATCGAAGAGAGCATCACAACGAAAGTGTGCATACGTAAGCCAGTGCAGGACTTAACGAAAGAAGAAAACGTCTCAAACGCATCGCTGGAATCGAAAGATTTAGCAATAACCAAAGGTGGTGACAGTGAAGCGAGAGAAACGAACGCTAGTACAGATTCCATTAAAGTGCAAGACGAGCTGCAGCGTATGGATTCAGGGCTTGACAGCGGAAGCGGGAAGAAAAGTGAGAGTTTTATTGCAGCCACAAAAGCACCGGCACAAAAAGTAACAGCGGCAATTGAAAAGAAAAAGCTTAGTGAGGAAGGGGCAACAAGAGCCAGCAGTAATTCCACGGTAGTTTCAACAAAAATTTCAACAGAAGAGTTGCAAGTCGAGACGGAAAAAGTGCAAGTGACTAATCAGAAACTAGAAAGTGCAACACGTTTGCAAATATTGTCAGTCGACGTTCTGCCCCCAATTAGTACCGACTCAACAATGACTGCCTCTGAAGTAGAAGATAATCTCGAAGGTAAGTGTTAATTATTGGGGTACCCAAAATAATCATCTTGGTTGGTATATTTTGTATTCTTTACTGCACTCGATGTTACGAAATAATCATTAATACTATACACCAATTGCGATCCCGTACGAGCTCGAACTTGCCAGGGTTTACTTGAAATCGATCCCGTTCTCGAGAAACTGATAACAGAGAAACTATCAGTTTATTTGCTGGTAAACTCGCGAAAATTCAACAAATTTGAAAAAATTTTCACCAAAATTTTTAACTTTTTAATCCAGGTCTTTAGAAAAAATCATGGCCGTTTTCCCATCAAATTTTAGTAAATTAAAGTACAAGTTTCAAGTTGGTAAATAAAAAATCTCATGTTTTATTAAACTTTTATTGCTTGGCCAAAAGTCTGCTAGATTCTATCTGGTTGTGGCAGAGAAACCCGCGAACATCCGGTATTTAGAAGCTGCGGTGGTGTCAAATAATGCCACTATCCCTTTGAACGTTTCTTGGGCTTACCGTTACTTAAGCTTGTCGACTGTGTTTGATAGAATAGCCGTTTTGGCAGGGCTTAATTTGTGGTGAGGCTACATTAATACCATGTTCTGACCGACAACGAAAACACCTTGAAAACGAGTTTTGGGATTGTGGGCTGAAGGCTGTTCACACCGACTGTTGGTGTTTTCGTTGACATTTCTTTCATCCTTTGTTTACAGTTTTACTACACAAAAACAAAACCAAAATACTTTTCCTTCAATTTCTTTTCATTAACAACCTTTTACTTCCATGCTTACTTTATTTTGGACAGCCAGTTAACAATAAATCCGAAATGACGTATTAAATATGATAAAATATGNGCTTACTTTATTTTGGAAAGCCAGTTAACAATAAATCCGAAATGACGTATTAAATATGATAAAATATGCCTTCCACTTCGATGAATAATCGACAAAAACTAGTGCAGACACCGATTGGAATGAGTGGAACGTGAGTTTTCAAGTGGTTTTCAGCGAAAACTAGTTTGACAGATTTTACATGGACGAAAATACAAGTTTTAGGTCGAAAACCAGTTTTACCAACGAAAATATGTTTTCGATGTCGGTCAGAACATGGTATAACATGCATGATTTAATTTCAAAGGCTACAAGTTTGGGGTATTATTGGAAAGTATACTTTTACGATAAAAATTTTCGTTTTATTATATGGTATTGCTTATTTTAGTAATAAAATCGCTGTGACTTATGCTTCCAAACTTATAGCTGATAAAAAATTACACGCCTATGGGATGTGCCACGCCCCTTTAAATATACCTTACTATTAGCACCTACCATAGACATATCTTCGTACCAAATTTTAAGTTCTGTTGGCTTATGGTTCTGAAGTTATAGCTGATTAAAAATTTCAGGCCAATGGGAGGTTCCACACGGGCCCTTGCAAAATTGACTACATAGTTGCAAATAAAACTATTCCTATAAACTTCCCGTGTTAAAAAGAAATATGTGTACAAAATTTCGTGCGATTCTGTGTCGCGGTTCAAAAGTTATATCTATAGATAGATATGTGTTATTGCAACTTAAAATGTTTATTGAAATTCACTTGCAATGCTAAATAATATTCACATTTTCGTTGTTGGTGTGTCCGAGAGGGTAGGAGTGTGATGTAATGTGGAACTATTTTCCGTCATCCCTTGTCAAATTTGGTTTGGACACAATGGAAAAGTTACACCGAAGATGGAACAACGCCGAAACTGGTTTGTCTCCAAACCAAATTTGACAAGGGATGGCGGAAAATCGTTCGGCATTTCATCTAAATAATATAAATTTAAGCATTCGTGTAAATTGTAAATGGATAAGCCCTTCTAGAAGGCATGCAAGGAAGCACTTTGTTAGCCCTTCTTGGGTAGGCCTCTTGGAATGGCTTTACTTATCTTCTGAGTTATTACCATCAGTTTGTGTTAAGCAAAGACGAACTAGAAAGCAAAGCTTTGTCCAACTACACTAGCAGTGTTGCCAACCAAACACACGGCGGATATTTAATTACATGTACGTTCTTATATAAGCCCAATAGATAATTTTAGGAACCACCAGCCCTTCTAAAACGCCTTCCCCTTTGCATTCCTTTCTCCTTTCTTTTTTGTTTAGAGTGGCACAAATTGAAGGCCTTTTGCAATCGCTACCCATAGAAGGGCTTTTGTAGGTTGTTTTTCAGAAGGTCTTTGGAGTAATTCTTATAAATTTTAATTATTTGTTCCTTTTTCTATGATATTCATTTAATAAATAGAATATTTTTATATTTATAGAGCGCTTAAGCCAGCTTGATGGTACAGCGATTGCTTCTCCGAACTGTGAAGTATTGAATCCAATAACTGCTAGCGATGAGATGGTTACAATAGTAACAACGCCACCACGTACACCTATAAAGCAGCAAACTCAACAGCAGCAAGTACAACAGCTGCAGCAGCAATTACAACAAACCCCACCAACACCTCTATCGCACCAAATACATCAACAACAACACTTACCGCAGCAACACACATTTACGCCACAGAGCAGCACCTCGTCAGCTAATACATTGAACAGCACGAATTTGCCACCGGCATTCATGAAAGAGACTGGAGCTGGTGAGTTGGAGGATCAAGATATTGAGGAAGTGTTGAAAGTGCTTAAAGGTTTCGATGGCAGCGCTGGCGCTGATACGCTCTGCGACTTAAATGTGCTCTTTAACGAGGAGTATACCCTCAACTATGATGAGGTCAGTAGTCAGCCAGCATCTACATCGACTAAACCCAATCCGCTGAAGGATATGCAAAGTGAAATCGAACGCAATCAACAAGCCATGCATCGTAGAATCGATTTTCTATTACGGCGTATGCGTAAACTTCAAGCTCGGTATATGAGCAAGCACTGCAGTGAAGAAATAGCCGGTTTATTTGAATGGACAGCTCGCATATCTGCTGGAAAAGGTGGCCCAATGAATAACACATCAGATCTTTTGCGCTCAGATACGGCCATTAGTGTCATTGCGGCACGTCCACCTGCCGACAATTGGGCTGAAGAAAAGAATCCCGTAGCATCAACGCAAATGTCATCGATGTTGCGGCGCTTGGAACATTCTTCAACTGCGCAACAACTGTGTATGGTGTCCGCGAATAGTAGTTTGAATGCCGCGAATACGCAATTGCCACGCAAAACAAAAAAGGCGCTTTTGCAAGAAATGCAAGCAGCTGCGTCGACATCTGCTGCGACAACAGCAATTGCATCGACGGCTGAACGCAAAGGCGAAGTTGTGGTACCCCACTATGACATTAATGTCAGCGAAGAGATGGCACAAGTCGCTGGTCTACTGCAAACTGAGATGCGTGAAGTGCAGACTGCGATGGACTCAGATGCAACGGAATCCAGTTCTGGTGGTGAATCTGCGGACGAAATGGTTACCTACAATAATCAGATACAACAACCATTGGCTATGTAAGTATTGATTTGTTAGTATGTGTCTAGAAGGCGTTTTGCGTAAAAACTTATAATATGTGTATATGTGTATTTTTTATTTCTTTTCATCTATAAAGCGCTAAACGTGCTGCATGGCGGTATTCACGTGACCGCGCTGCTATAGCTGCTCGCTGGTCATGGCTACTTTCTCAGATCGCGGATTTAGAAATTAAAATACGGCAGCATACAGAACTGCGACAGGAGGTTGTACGGACCAAAGGTGCGGTGGCGTCTGGCTTAGATGAGCAGTGTGCAACTATTCATGCTGGCAATCTCAAATCAATTGAGGTAGCTACACTTAATACGACAACATCATCTGTTAATGGGTATAAAGGGAATATGTTGGGTAACACCGGTGTCAAATTTGACGCCATTGAAAGTGAAGAAGCAGGCTTGATAGGAGCGGCGCGTACTCGGGGCTTTGTACCATCGTTATTCCGGAAACGTAAATTATTACAAACGCAGAGTCTCCACACAATTTCAAAGAAGGCTGCTCGACCAAGGTATATCAGCTATTTATAGAATTATCATTAATTTTAACTTTTTCAAAAAAAAACAATCGTTTCTGTTGAAATGATTTAATTTTTATCGTTTTGATAGTTATCAAAATATCTAATTCTATTTTGGTTTTTAACGAAAAGAAATCTGGCAATGGTTTACAACAAAAGCCTTTCGTTGATTTATTTTGTTTCAATGTTACCGATTGATGATCTATTTCGTTTCAACATTAACGATTTAGTTTTGTTACATTAATTTAGCCCTGAAAGTATGGAAATTATTTTGTAAAGCTAATTTTGCTCATTGCCGATTTAATAACAATTTTATTGAGTTTGATATCGTTTCGTTGATGAGCATTCTTGATAGTACATATGTATGCACAAATGTGTATATTATTTTGGAATTTGTGTGCATCTTACTTCATGATGCTTTATTATTTCAGCAACATAAAATGTGGCTGCCAATGGCCTTTTAATCCCTGCGCGCTGTGTACAGGCCGAACAGACCCAACGGCGCCGCGAGATCCTCCAGATACAATGATGATGGCAGATAGAATAGCGCTACTGGATCCCGGTTATCATCCTGTTTTAAGCTTTCGTGAAGGTAAGTCATATGAATTGTAACGAAATATATTTTATAAGACATTACCCAAGAAGAAGACATGAATCGCTCGCACTATCCGCGATCTCCACTGAAAATGGAAATAGTTTTATTTGTTTTAGGTCGCGACTTGAATTAATATTAAGCTTAAGGATCTTAAAACGCCAGGTTTTCCCAATTATGCTATATTTTTCAGCTTCTGTACTCCATCGATGAAAGTTGGAAGCAAGGGGTTGACAAAATTAATAATCAAGTTCAGTATAGAAACATGCATTTAAACATAAACAACCTAAATTATTGACAATAAGTTCAGAAAAATTTACTGCGCTGGCATTTTATGAATTTTAAAACTTTTGTACTTTAAATCAGATTAACATATGTATATTTTTTTTGCCTTAACTACAATTAACTGAATTGTACAGGAATCTTTTTGATCTTGTGTTACTGTTTACTTTCTTTAGCGGTTTACTGATTACCAATTTTCCAACGTGAGATCTTTCATATTTTGTAAAAATTAATTTTCTGATTTTGCTTTAAAAATTCAGGGCTTCTAAAATCTTGTGATCTACACTTTGTGTTTTAAAATTATAATTATTTTTATTTTTTATTTTATCGAGCTTGATACTATTTTCACGATCAGCCATTAACTAGAGTTTATGGGCCATTTTGGAGTTTAACGCTAAACTCTGCTCTTAAACTCGGAGTTTGCCATACAAACAATTTTCGTTAAATTCACCATAAACACCACTTCTATTTGGAGTTTATGGGAATGCAACCCCTTTTTTTTGACTGAATTTGGTTTGTGTCTTTGATAATCCAAACCTGCAACCAAGTTGCCGACAGTTAGCCTGTTCCTTGTACTGCAGGATTTGATCAGAAATTGTCCGAGGCCGCTCCGTGCACATAAGTCTACATAGAATATCAACAATCTAGCTCTGCAAAAACAAAAAATGTGGTTCGATAGAACTTTTTGTGCTACCGCTACTTTATCTGACGGAAGTAAAAAATAAAGAAGATATCAATGCTTAAAGTTAAGTTTTTTGATTTTTTAAATATTAATACCTTCTGAACAACATAACCTATTAAAATACTAATGACGTCAAAATAAAGGTAATTAGGGGGGTTTCACTTGGTGTACATAATTTTCTCCTTTTTTTTAAATTTGTAAGCCAGAAATACCTAATAACCAAAAAATATATAAAAATATATATACATATTTTTTTAAATGGCGTTTATTTAAAAATTGTTTTAAAAGGGGGTCCATTATATACGTCGCATAAAAGGTATTTAAA